CTAGGAACTGGAATTCAATTCATAGCAAGAACGTGGTCAACACGTCCTCATAAGACTCATTTTGAGATAGTTATACCACCATATTATTTATTAAGAATACCCATAAGTTTGTGCTTGAATAAATTCTGAGAGTTCAGTACATAATACAGTTTAAGTTTATTATTTCTGAGCTATTAAAAAGCCTTATTTATTTATTGAAAACTTCCTGCAAATACATTGCATAGGGCGGACTTAATGCCATAGACATTTTCTTCCAGTCGGGGGGTCTTGGGGGAGGGGGGGGGGGGGGTGCAGAGCTGTGTGTACATGTGTATTATTTGAAACGAATAAGGTAAATGACGAATTAATATCTATAACAAAATTATACTGTATGAAGACATTTACATTTTAACTGCCTCGGTGGTGCAGTGGTAGCGTGTGCAACTACTGTGCTGAGGTTCGATTTCTGGCCTCAATTCGGACCAAATGTTTGTATGATCTGCAAATATTTGTTTCGGAGTTAAGGTGTTTTTCTATGTATAAAATATGTAGGTCCTTACAGTAAAAATATTATCATAGTGTGATACCTTTTTAGAATCGTCACAAAGCCGACATGCAGTTAAGATAATGGGCAACAATGCCACAGTACTTATTTTACACGCTTTATATTAGCTTCACTTGTATGTTTGTTTGTAACCGACTCCTTTGGGCGTGATTTTGACTGATTTTAAACGGTCAGAATTCGTTCAAACTTTGTAGATATATCGAGAACCGATGACAATACACGAATTTTAAAAAAAATTGTTTTAAAAATATATTTTTTTACAGTCAAAGTTTAAAACTCAACGTAATGAAAAAAATAGTACAAAAATGCTTGAAAGTGTTTCACATTAATAACGTCCACTATAGTAACTAAATGAAATAATACAAGTCTCCAGGACTACGATACATAAAACGAACCGGTTAGGTACGAGTCGAACTCTACGGAACCCTAAAAAATAGTTAGAAACACCTTGATTTGTTAAAATGGCATCAGAATGAATAAGCAAAGTAGCAAAACTTACAAAAAATAAAAAAGTGGTCACCATTTTCACACCGTTGGCAACCCTGACATGAAAATGTGATTTTCTTGTAGCCTGGCACCATAGCTACCTCAGATTAACGGGTTATTTATTATTTACAACAGACCCTGTATATTTATTATGTAGGTACATACTATATAGTTTAAAAAAATATTATATATAGGTAATATTTACATCTCATCATGAGATCAACAACAGAAAAGTGGACCAAAAAAGTAACAGAATGGTACCCGCGGGACAGCAAAAGACGTAGAGGAAGGCAGAAAAAAAGATGGGAAGATGATCTGCCCAAAGGTTGGAGAAGGGCAGCAATGGATAGGCAAATGTGGAGGGAACTTGAGGAGGCCTATGTCGCAAGACAACCTGACCTGGTAACTGATAACTGGTAACTGATATTAAAAGTTAAGTTTTATACATACAGAAAATAGAAATAAGTAAAGTTATTATAATATAGTTAAGTAAAGTTAGTATAGTTTTGTTTTTATTTTATTGTAATACAAATTATGCAAGGTCCTAAAGAGAGGAAAATTTTGAGACGGAGCCCGCAACAGGAGCGGGCTGGCGCTAGGAGGGGTCCGGATGTCTTAATAACAGCTGTTCCCGGATCCCTCCTATTACAGGCGCAGAGTGGCACACCGTGTGGTTTTAGTCGGTCCGAGTCCGACACATCACCCCGCCGCAAACCCCGGTGGGGTGACGGTCCGAGGGGATTTCCACACGTTAAAAAAAAAAAAAAAAGGGTTTTCAAGTTTTCCTTCTCTTTGCAGTGCTTTTGTTATGCGTCGTTCGCTCTATTAGTCTGCTCTAATGACACCAACGGGATGAATAGGGTTGGTGGTTGGAATCACTAACAAAATTTAAAGCATAGTTAATTCATAGTATAGGTATTTATGAAATCTATGTAATTGTTCATAAAAAATATATATTCAATAATATGTCCAGTGTTCCAATTCTTTCTGACGTCTTTCTTTCTTAAGTCATACAGATATGATGACCGTTGATCACTAAGAAATCTTTTAGCGACATAAATACTTTCAGTGACCTACTTTAACGAGGTGATAAAATAATAGACCTTAATTCAGCACATTTGTCTCATATAGTTCATTTCCCGCAAACCCAGTCATAAATCTCTTAAAACACATTAGGGCCATATTAAACGGTTCTAGTGGAAATGTGGAGGCATTCGCAAAAAGCTTTTATCAATCTACATAGAGAATATTTAACGCTATCTGATGAATGAGTCATAGATCCAACAAAAACTATTGAGGTTTTTGGTAGGGCGGCAACAGCCATAATTTATTTATATCTGAAAAAAGCTTTAGGTTTTGGGAGAAAAAGACTGAATACAGAAAGTAAAATATCTGTGATCGTGTTATGTTCATTCATTGGATGTGGTAATTGATCAAGAAAAGAAGGATAAATTAAAATTGAAAAGTTTTTAATTTTGATTGTATGAATGATGTACCACTAATAAAGATACTACACTATATGATATAGACGGGTCTCTGGTCATCTGCAATCGAACAGTCATGATTTTCTTTAGAATTAGAAGTATGCTCTTGTCTTGAAGGTTTGTTTGTAGGTGGTGTCAGTTCAGAATTACTGTAGACAACAATTAGGTCCATAGGTTGGTTGAGTACGACAAAAAGTTGCTTGTGGTGGAGTAATAATAATCTCACGCATAATTTTGCATCACACACATTAATTATTCTTTATTTCACTATTCATGTAACTGCTCGATTTCTGCACTTATACTACAGTTTTTGCGCTGTTATCTGCTGTCACACTTCCATGCGTCTGATAACCATCTCATTATAAAACTTAATGATTACTGTCATAATTAAGTTTTTAATGATCATAGAAAAGCCTAATGGCTACCATGTTTTCCTTTTTATCTTGGGTTCGTTCTACAGGTGTTATACCATTATAAGTTATTGAAACCGATTCTTACATAACAACCAGTCATAATATATCATTTCATTAATACTTTTCTAACGATCATTAAGTTAGATGAGCCATTATTCGTATCGGCCTTGTTCTTAGGCCGACACTTGAGTAATCCCAACTTTCCTCGCGTCTCGTCTTCAAACTTATGGCATTTCATTTCCCTAGCGCTTAGAACTTTTGAAGTAATTATTTAGTCTTCTACTGAGTAATATAAATTAGATTATTTACATGTTTTAGGAGAAAATGGTTTCAAATGGGTAAACTTGTTGAGTGTTGTTAATTAACTTATAAATAATTAATTTGTGATGCTAATACAGAACAATTTCTAGTGTCATTAGAACTAAAAATCTGTCGCTTTTCTGAATCAATCCCATGAACATGTTGACATACGAGAAATAAATAAAATGGTTCATTTTCACACGATTGAAGAAATGATTATAATATTTTCTGTATCTCTGTCTCTTAATTTAAGAGCCAAGCCCTTGTCGGTCAAGTAATTGCCACTCCTCTCTATTTCCTGCGATCTGTTTGACCTCCTGACAGGCCACGACTCGTACTTTCTCTTGCACTAGCTGTATGTATGTTGATCCGTCCTCGTTTTCTCTTGCCTTCTATTTTTCCATCCACTGTTATTTTGAAGAAGTTGTCTTATCAAGTGGCCAACCATTTTGCTTCTTCTGTTTTCATTGGCATTCAACAATTGCCTCTCTTCGCTCAACATTAGCAGCACCTCCTCATTAGTTCTTATGTCAATCCAACTGATGTTCATGTTAATGTCTATTCTTCACTATTCCGTAACCTTGAAATACCTGATCAGATTTGGGTCTATCGTTAAGAGTATCTATACTTTCTTTATTTAAAAAAAAGTGCCTTAATTATTTTTTTATTTTTTAAATTGATTTTTACATTTGTTTTCTATAAATTTCTAAAGTATGTGTATTTTAATGTGTGTAATGTGTTAAGAAAACGCCAATAGCATTAAGTCCGCCTTATGCAATGTATTTGCAGGAAGTATAAATAAATAAATAATGCAGCTTTCCATTGGTGAAATCTCTTAAGTGTTTTAGGCGTGAAAACGTGGCAAACAAACTACTTTTACATTTATAAAATAACTATGGATATACCTTATGTTGTGAGTCTTCAAAAGATTATCATTTCGTTTTGAATATTTACTTTTATTGGATGGCTTCGTACCCATGATTCCAATTTCACATCGAATTATTTTTCTCGAACATGAAAAGAAACGTAATTTATTTTTCAAATTGAAACCATAAGTAGGTTGAATGTATAATTTGTTTGTTTTTTAATCCTCAGCAACCAGGCCTATTGTTCGTCATGTATATTTAATTACATTAGCATATTGCGCCATCTTTTAAAATAATTCGCACTGCACTGGGCTCAGATAAAAAAAAAAACATTTGTCGACGTTGCTAAAGCTAGGGTTGGCATTGTGACACACAACAAAGAATTCCGTTGCAACAAAGTACAACGTTTCTATTCCACAGAAGACGATTTTAATAAAACGGGACATCGGTATTTTCTTTGAGCATTATTCGTCTAAGGAAAAGTCTTTATTTATAGTAAACATTGAAGAAATCGCTTTTCTTTGTACTTACATATATTTTATTCGTATAGTTTTACTAAATGAGAGGAGTGATAAGCCTTAAATTATCTTTTAAACTTTAGCAGCCCATTATATACAATTGTGTATATAAAAGTGAAGGAGAAAATTAAAAAAAAATACAAATATGCGGACAAATGAAGAAGTACTCCACTGAGCCAATTAACCTATGACCCAGGCTAGTGCAATCTGGTCGAAATATCAAGCAATTCAAACGTTGTGGAACCTGTTGTGTAATCACGTTAATTCTCGTTTGTGTACACAATTACATTTTAAACAATCTTCCGAAACATTTGTACATTATTTTTGTATTTTAAATTCTATTCAAGAAACAAAAGATATTAAGTACCTATATTTTTGTCTTGTTCCAGTGTCATGCCCGGCCCCCCTCAAGAACCGTGACTTCGTACTCCAGCGGTCGTGGCTGGACACGGGCAATGAGAAGATGATCCTCAACCATTCCGTTCACCATAAAGATTACCCCCCTAGAAAAGGATATGTCAGGTCAGTACTTCGGATTACAAACATGTTACATTAAATACAATTTTATTATTATTATTAATCATTATATATCAAACTAAATGTTATCCTCTCGCCAGTGACATGTCAAAATGTAAAATATTCATGTCTGTGGAGTCCCGTGAACGGACTTTACACAGACAACGTATTTTTAGGGTATAGGTTTAAAAAACCTGATTTTCTTTAAATCCGTTAATAAATATAATAAAGCCATTAATAATTTATATTCTAATTAGATTTCTTTGTATAATTTCTTACACTACACTTGACTTTGAATTGCATTGCAACTGTTCTATAAGAAAACAAATGGGTCACCTAAAACTTATCTTTTATTTTACAATTAATAAAAAATAAAGACCTTGCTGGATGTAAAATTATATATTTTTTGTATAATATTAAGTACTTTATAATAATTATATAACTTTAAAATAATCAAATGACCAATAAACCAAAGTTATTACACTATTTGTTGTTGCACAAATCGAAAAGTTCGCGGGAATCACTAATTGAAATGGTCACAGTTTAAATAAACGATCGTCGAAAAAATTTGTCCCACAGACCAAACAACTTTCATGTGATAGGGAGAACCTGTTCATTCTTAGTTGATTGTTAATAAGTACCATAAAGCGAGAACTGTAGTAATCGACAAAACAGATTATACATACCTACACCTCTACGGCGGATCCCTGTAGCGGACTCGACACAGAAGCGCACTAATCTGCAAAGTCCGCTGAGCGGACGCGACACTGTCGAGTCGACTTCTTCGATCAATTCGACAGAAGTCAAACTCTTGTAGATAACTCACTTTGAATAGAAAAGAGATACAAATATTAAATGCTTTCATAATTATCATCCTCATCAACAGCCTTTATTTGTCCACTGCTGGACATAGGCTTCTTTTTAGAAAGGAGGGTTTGGTCAGACGGGTTGGTATAGGGTTTGTGTCAAGTTTTCCTTCTCTTTGCAGTGCTGTAGTCCTGCGTAGTTTGCTCTCTTAATCGGCTCTTACGACACCTACGAGATGAATGGGGGTGACACTTCGCATCCTTAATTCGTCACCACACAAATACTTCATTTATTTGAAATTGGGTCAGTATGGCGTATCATTAAAATATAGAAACAAAAAAAAACTTTTTTGAAATAAGAACTTCGAGTAAAAAAATAGCTTTTACAAATTGCAGTATTCTGAACAAAGGAAAAGAAACAATAGACTACATTTATTCTTATAATCACTGTGACTTAGTTACAACTCAAAAGGAAATTCTTCTAAAAGGTTAAGTAAGTACTACAATTTTGCAGCGCAATTAGTTTTGAGCCTCGACTCCAAGTTGTAAATATATTTAACTAGCTGACACGCGCAACTTCGTCTGCGTCTCTAAATTACTCTTTAGAGACGCAAATTTTCTCCGTTTTTGAAACATTCTTCATTGGTGCTCCGCTCCTATTGGTCTAAGCGTGATGATATATAGCCTATAGCCTTCCTCGATAAATGGACTATCTAACACTGAAAGAATTTTTCAAATCGGACCAGTAGTTCCTGAGATTAGCGCGTTCAAACAAACAAACAAACAAACAAACAAACAAACTCTTCAGCTTTATAATATTAGTATAGATTAGCCCGTTGTTCTTGGGCATGAACGTAGGCTGTAGAGAACAGGGTCGGTCGGTGTTACGACACAATTGAATTTGTATAGAGGAATATTTTGGTGGAATTATGGTTTTTGTTTTATTAGTAAGAGTATTATAAATGGAAACTGGATTTGTTTAATACATGGTATGCTTAGCTTACTTTTTTATATTAACACTGTGGAAAAATTATGCTCCGGGACATTCAAAGCGGTTCGGCCGGAGTGATACTACCTACTGCTTTACAGACAGTTACTGTTAAGCAATTTTTTCTTTGTTTTTACCGAATGAGTGAGGTTTCTTTTTTCGTGCCCCCTACCCCAAATGCCTGAGGGGAGAGACTCACTTGTGGCTCTTGAGGTGCGTCTCTCCATGGCCAGCGATCTTCCCATAAAGTGACTTATCAGCTCCTTTGACATTCCTATTAAGAATACAATTTTTGGAACGAAGTTTCTTATCGCGCGTTACACTCTCTGAGCGGATGGGAGTGTAACAAGATTTTTTTCCGACACTATAGCAAACGTCTACCAAAAAGCGAAAGGAGGAAAAAGGGTCTTTAGACCTCCGGTCGGAACGAAGTTCTTTTTTTTCCTATTATGTTCCGGAGCTGTTTTTTTTCTATTATATTACGAACTACGAAATACCAACATAAGTGTCTCGTCTGCTATTTTACTTATGATATTTAGGCTCTTACATCTGAATAACATATCCTACATGTACATTGAATAAAACGATGTCACGAGGAAGCGAGAGGTTGCCATGGCAACGTACTTACGTTGTCACATATTTCTTTACGTTAATTTAAGTTCCATGTCCTCGTAGATGATGCGTAGATGTTCACCAAGATTTTCTAGTAATTTGCTTTCAACAAAACGGCTCATTAAAGTTCTTTCTATTGTTTTCACAGTCTCTTTGTTTCGTTGACAGTCTTAGAACTGGTAAATTTAAAAGTGTGTGTATATTCGATATATTGTATACAGGTGGATTTAGAAATAAGTAGGTTATGTAACTATCATACAGCTGAGCATTGGGGTTCTAAAAGATGAGACAACGCATACGTGATCTAACTATTTACTACAATTTGACAGACTAAGTATAATACCTTGAAACGAGCAATTCTTGAATATACATATATGTATGTATGTATACATATATTGTTAAAAAAAAGACAACGCTCGCATTAGGAATATATATTCCTGTGTCGCGGGGGCCTTTACAAACATAAATGAAACGGACACCAAGAACACCCAGACTCAGAACAACAATTTGTGGATCACACAAAGTGTTGTCCCATGTGGGGTTTGAACCCACAACACTCGGCGTAGTAGGTAGCGGCGTATAATATATATATGAATCTCGGTAACGGCTCCATCGTTTTTCATGAAATTTAGTATACAGGGGGTTTCGGGGGCGATTAATCGATCTAGCTAGGTTTCATTTTTAGAAATTTTACCGGTAAATCAGGTATTATTTTTATAAAAGAACACGAAATGATAGACAGAATCGTATTAAAGGCATACACACATTTGCCGTATATAATTTTAGTACCACTAACGTAATATTGGGCAACCGTATTTCCGTCAACCGGGCTTATGTATTTCTAAATAAACATCACTTAAATATTTCTAAATCAATTACACCTAGACTCAACAAATGACCACAATATTTCCATCACACAACACATAATATTTGTCCTTTGTCTGAATCGAACCCACAACCTCTGGCTTCGCAGTCGAGATCGCCAACCACTAAATCAACAGGCCCGTTGCTCTCAATAATTACATTATTGATTTAAAAAAGTTCAAAGGTCTCCCTATTAATCAATTTAAGCTTAAATTATGTTGATCTGTAAAATTAAATTGTAAAACCTTTTTTTCACGGTCACGGTTTTTTCAAGTTTCTGGCACTTCATTTTTATTCTCTCTTCTTTTTTCAAGTGAATAGTTTTTTTATACTTAAAGATAGATCATCAACAGCCTATAACAGTCCACTGCTGGACATAGGCCTCTCCTTAGAAAGGAAGTTTTGGCTAGCCAAACGGGTTGGTATAGGGTTTGTTTTAAGTTTTCCTTCTCTTTGTAGTGATGTTGCCCTGCGTAGTTTGCTCCCTTAGTCGGCTCTTACGACACCCACGGGATGAGGGGTGGTGACACTCCGTATTCTTAATCCGTCACCACACGGAAATATACCTATACCTATATTGTCCTTTTATAAAATTAACTAGCCACTCCCGTGATTATATTTCATTTCGTATTTCTCTTTGAAAATGATGAACTTTCATATAACCGTTCATCCCTTTTTGTATCCCCTTAGGGGTGAAATTTGGGGTGCTACATAAAAAGCATCAGCTACAAGAAAGAAAAGTATATAAGTATTGTAAAAGTCATCTAGCTTTCATAGCACAAGCTCTGCTTAGTTTGAAATTAGATGCCGTTGTGTGTTAGACGTCCAAGCTGTCCAAAATATTAATTATAGAAGAACACATTAATTGTCAGACATAACTAGAACAATACAAGCTTCTTTAACCTCTATTCGTCCCCACGTGGGCGGACAGTGGTCTCGTTTCATTACTTATATTTGCACAATTTGCTCGGCACTCCAATGATTAGATAACGTATCGTGCACGTCAATCCGTGACTGTTAACGTAGGAGATAAAAGGTGACGCTTTGGAAAACCATCTTCCTTATCTCTCTGAAGTTTATTTACGGTCTTAGGTCTACTTAGGATTATATAGGCGAGTTGGACGTAAGTAATTTTGTTGCAAGCCCTTTATTTAGCGTAATAGGTTAGTAGAAAGGTTCATATTAAGTATAAAAGTACTCGTATTATGTTTCAAATTGCTTTGTTTAGTAATATTCCTTAATCTTTCATCCCGTTTAGTCTCATTCAAGTTTGGAATTAAAGCCCACCCTGAAATGTGGAAAGTTCAGGTATAAAGAGTTTTATTACAAATCACGATATAAGCGCCTTAAAGTCGAAAGTATTTTTTTTAAAGTAAATTACGAGTACGTCAATCAATTTTTCTTGGTAATAAGTACCCTAAGTATGTATTATATACTATATATACTATTAAATACTATAAGCTATCTCTGTGCTACATTTTATCTGGATCTGTTCAGTCATTCGAGCGGCCTGTTGGACTAGACCAACTGCCAACCGGATCCTGACTGCCATACCCGAGCTGGTGGGTTAGATTTCCACCCAGGACAAATAATTGTGTAATGAGCACGATCTTTTGTTATGTGTCTCGGTGTATTTTATCTACAATATGCATGTATGTAGAAATATTTAAGAACGTTTATCAGCAGTCTGGTTACCGTAGTACAGGCGCTGTCTAGTTTGGGACAAAATCGTCGTGTGTGAGATTGTTATAAAGTGAAGTTATTATTATT